CTTATCCTCCGCCCGCACGGCTCCCTGGGTGGACGTCGCGGGCACGGTGGCGTACACGAGGCCTCCGCCCCGGAGCACAGGAGGAGCAGCTGCGGGAGGGGGACAGGACAGGAACCGACGCGAGTCAAATGTCCGGGTCTGCGGCAAGCTTGGAGACGCGCTCCCGGGTGCGGAAACAACGCCTACCAGCGGCTACCGCTTGAGGAGCGCCTTTCACTGGACGCCAACGGGGCGGCTGAAGGGAGGAGACCAAACCGTCCGCACGCGGCACCACTGTGAGCGGGAGGAGGAGGAAGAGGAGGAAGAGGTGGAGGAAAGTGATGATGACGAGGAGGAGGAGGAGGAGGAGGAGGAGAAGGAGGAAGAGGAGGACAGGGAGAAGATAGGGAGGAGCAGGAGGAGGAGGAGGAGGAGGAGAAAGGGGAACAGGAGGAGGAGGAGGAGGAGGAGGAGGAGGAGGAGGAGGAGGAGGAGGGAGGGTGAGAGGAAAAGGAGGAGGAGGAGGAGCAGCAGCGGCAGCGGGAGCAAGAGAAGGAAAAGGAGGAGAACGGGGAGGAAGATCACACGGCAACCGAACATCTATACTACGGGGCAGTGCCAACTTGTGCAAAGCAAGTCCGCCACCGTGCCTCTGGGCACGGAGGGGGCGTGTCGTCAGGTTCTTTGTCTAGCCCTCTGAGCCTCAGGCCTCAATCCTGAGAAGTCTCTGAGGGGCCTAGAACCCCAAATTCCGAAATCTCCTGGGGCTTGTCGCGTCATGTAGCTCGATTTTTTTCGGAGCCAAGAAAGGCACCAGGATGGGCCACGAGGGCCCCAAGTGGACCCAAAACGGTCCAAGAGGGACCCGAGTCGCCGAACGATCGCTCCACGATGCTCGAGATGGCCCCAGCCGGCCTAAGAGGCCTCCAGGACCTCCTCAAGAGGTCTTCAAGAGGCCTCCCAAGAGGACCCCAAGATGTCAACATCACTGAGGCCCCTTAGGTGTGTCAAAGGTTTGGGCATATTCGTTTTTTCGGCTCACCAAAACAGCCAAAGAGGCGCCCAAGACAGCCCAAGAGGCCCCAAAGACAGCTCCAAGAGGGGGCCCAGATTGGGGAGGGACTCGAGCTGACATTTTGAGCCCTCGGCCCCGAGGGACCCCCAGGCGGCCCAAAGAGGCCCCTAAAAGCCCCCCAAGAGGCCCAAAGAGACCCCCACAAGGCCCTAGAGGCCCCCAAGAAGCCTCTAAGAGGCTCCCAGGAGGCCCCCAAACTGCCCCCAACAGGGCCCTATGAGAGCGCTCCGAGGAGACCCTAAGAAGCATCCCGGAGAAGTCTGACCCACAACCCAAGCACGGTGGCGGGATGGGTCGAAGGCCAGTCGATCCGCCGCCCCCTGTCGATTCATCGCAAGGGTGCCTGGCGTGCCGGATCCTATCGGTTTTGGTTTTTTTTCCAGAAGAGCTCCCCCAGGGGCTTCGGCCCGTCCCGCCACCGTGCCGTTCGCTCGGGACATCCTCAAAAAATCGCAACGTGCGCAAAAACATCCTCCCAGAAACGGCCGTTTCGCTCGGGACATCCTCAAACAATCGCAAAGATGGCCCAAGATGGCCTCCAAGTTCGCCCAAGATGGTCCAAGACGGCCCAAGACAAGCCAAGACGGCCCAAAACGGCCCAAGAGGCCCCCCAGAGGCCTCAAATACGGCCCAAGCGGCCTGCAAGAGGTCCTCCAGGAGGGCCCGAAGAGGCCAAAATCATTGATTGTCATTGGGTTTTTGACGGATTTTGGAATTTGCTTCTTCTCGGCCTTCCGACGGCTCAAGACGGCCCAAGTGCTCCCAAAGATCGCCCAAGAGGCCCCCAGGAGGGCCCCATGACGGCCCAAGCGGCCTGCAAGAGGGTCTCCAGGAAGGCCCGAAAAGGCCAAAATCATTGATTTCCCATAGGTTTTTGAAGGATTGTGGCATTTGCTTTTTTCTGCCTTCCGACTGCCCGAGACGGCCCAAGTGCCCCCAAAGATCGCCCAAGAGGCTCAAGACACGGCCCCAAGAGGCCCCCAAGAGGGCCCAAGAGGTCTCCAAGACGCTCAAGATGGTCTCCAAGACGGTCCAAGAGCCCTCCAAGCCGTCCTCCAAGAAGGCCAGAAAGAGTCAAATGGCCTCCAGACGGCCAAGATGACCTTCAAGATGCCCACGTGTTCCGCGAAGGCTTTCCAAACCGATTCGGGGCACAAATGATCCGATAACTTGGCAGGTCTGGCCTCAACGTTCGGCCACATAGGCGCTTCCACAAATGCAGGGGGCGGCGGTGATTCGCCGTAGGCGTCTTCGATCCGCCGCCCCCTGCCGATTCATCGCAGGGGTGCCTGGCGTGCTAGACCCTTTCGGTTTGGGTATTTTGTTTTTTTCCAGAAGAGCTCCCCCAGGGGCTTCGGCCCGTCCCGCCGGCCACCCGGAAAGATCTTCCAGACCCGGTTGCAAAGGGCTTATCCTGCACCAGACGGCTCCAAGACGGCCCAAGATGGCCTCGAAGATGCATCCAAGACGGCCAAGATGTCCTCCAAGACGGCTCAGACGGCCCCAAAATGCCTCCAAGACGAGCCAAGATGCACTCAAGACAGCCTCAGATGGCATCAAGATGGCCCAAGACGGCCCCAGGGACCTCCAAGAAGCCTCCAAGACGGCCCAAAAGGCCTCCAAGAGGTCCTCCACGAGGGCCCGAAGAGGCCAACATCAGTGGTTGTCGCAAGGCTTTTGGAGGATTTTTGCATTTGCTCCTTTTCGACTTTCCGACAACCCAAGACGGCCCAAGAGGCCCCCAAAATCGCCCCGTCCTCCAAGATGGCCTATGCCGCCAAGACGGCCCCATGACAGACGACCCAAGAGGCCTCCAAGACGCCCAAGATGGCCTCCAAGACGGCCTTGGAGCACCCTAAGAAGGGCCCCAAGTCGGCCCAGAGAGGCCACCCAAACGGCTTCCGACGGCGTCAGACGGGCCAGGAGCCCACCAACATGGCCGAAGTTGGCTCGAAGCTGGCCCAAGAGGCCTCCAAGAGGGCCTCCAGGAAGGCCAGAAGAGGCCGAAATCACTGATGTTCCCAAGGTTGTCGTTGCTTCTTTTCGGCCTTCTGACGGCCCGAGACGGCCCAAGAGAGCCCAAAGATCGCCCCAAGATCGCCCAAAAGGCCTCAAAGATTGCCCCAGAACGGCCCAAGAGGCCCCCAAGACGGCCCAGGAGGCCTTTACGACGCCCAAGATGGCCTCCAAGACGGCCCAGAGAGGCCAAACGGCTTCCGACGGCGACATACGGGCCAGGAGCCCACCAAGACGGCCCAGAAGGCCTCCGAGAGGGCCTCCAGGAAGGCCAGAAGAGGCCAAACTCATTGATTTCCCATGAGTTTTTGAAGGTGTGGTATTTGCTTGGTTTCGGCTTTCCGACGGCCCCAGACTGCCCAAGAGCCCCCAAAGATCGCCCAAGAGGTCCCCAGTATGGCCCCAGAACGGCCCAAGAGGCCCCCAAGACGGCCCCAAGAGGCCCCCAAGACGGTCAGAGAGGCCTCCAAGACGCCCAAGATGGCCTCCAAGACGGCCCTGGAGCACCACAAGAAAGCCCCAAATCGGCCCAGAGAGGCCCCCAATACGGCTTCCGACGGCGTCAGACGGGCCAGGAGCCCACCAAGACGGCCAAAGAGGCCCCCGAGCAGCCCCCAAAGGTCCAAGAGGCCCCCAGGAAGCTCCCAGGAGACCCCAAGAGTGTCCCCTCCCCCTCCTCCTCTTCCTCCTCCTCCTCCTCCTCCTCCTCCTCCTTCTCCTCCTCCTCCTCCTCCTCCTCCTCCTCCGCCTCCTCTTGATCTTCCCCGCCATCCTCCCCCAAGTGTTTCCCGAAGGGTTTCCACAACGGCTGGGGGAGCACATGGCCCGATACCTCAGCAGAGCTTTTGCGACAACGCTCGGCCACATGGCGATTCTAGAAGGCGGGGGGCGGCGGTGATTCGCCGTAGGCGTCTTCGATAATGCATGCGATGAGGATGAGGATGAGGAGGGAGGAAGAAGAAAAGGAGGTATACGACGTGCGGGAAGGAGATCGCCTGGAGATCGCCACTGGGGACCAATGTCCCTTCCCCTCTGCACTACTGGCGGGCCGCAGGAGGGCACGAGCCCCCGCGCCATCAAAATAGTGCTTGCACTGCGCCCAACGGCGCCCAGGAACAGCCCCCAGGGGACGCGCAGTAATCTTCGCACCACGCGCAGCCCAGCCCAGGGGCAAAGGGGTCCACGACTTCGCAGCCCGCGACCGCGCCCCTCGCGCTGGCCGAGGACTCACGTGGCACCCCAGACCTCCACCTTGAAGTTGTCCTCCCACTCCTTGAGCTTCCGAGAGAACTCCGCGAGTGTGAGGCCGCTTTTGACCAGCTCTTCCATCTTGATGGACTTGTGCTGGTCCCTCCAGTCGAGGAACTTCTCGTACAGCTCCTCGTTCGAGACGCCAGCGAAGACCGACGCCCTCTGCAGCTCCCACTCGTGCTTGGCTTTGCGAAGGCCCAGGTCATCCTCGCCCTCGGTGTCTCCGTTGCTGATGTCGGCGACCAGCACTTTCCCCTCGGTGGCCGTGCCGCTGGGGACGAGGTCGATGTCCTCCAGCGTCTCCTCCCCGATCTGCTCCGCCACAGGCTTCGGCAAGTACTGCGTGTCGTCCACTTCGTCCAGCGCGTCCCCGTAGCTCATGACCGACACCATCCCCTTAGTGTCGATGGTCTTGCAGTCGGGGGCGCATTTGACATGCTCCTCCAGCGCCATGCCGATCTCCGACGAGCTCACGGTCTCGCTCGCCAGATCCGTCATGTCGTCCACCGTCTCCGACAGGTCTGCTTCCTCGGGCCGCGGCCCCCACCCCTCCCCACCGGTGCCGCCCTTGACCTTGTCCTCGCTGGGGGGGGCGGGGCCCGCATCGGCGCCCTTGTAACACTGCGACCCGTCAATCTTGAGGCTCTCCTTGGCCTTGCGGCCGCCGCGCTGCCTCCGCTTGGCCTCGCGGCCCGTCTGCGGAAGATCATCTGCGCCGCAGCCCATGTCTACGTGTAGGCCGGCGTTGCGCATGGCCTTCATGTCCCCGCTGATCTCGGCCTCCCCTGTGGGTCCCGCCTTAACCAGCTCCGTGAGGGCTGGCTCCACCATGGCCAGCCTGGCTGCGACCTCCTGCTGGACGCCGTCGACGCCGTCGCAGGATGTCCGGATAGCGGCAGACACCATCGCCGCCGCCGTTTGGCGCGATGCGCCGCCCGCTGCAGCACCAAGCGCCACAGCAAGGACGTGCGCGGCGGACGGCTGGCCGCACACAATACTCGCCACAGACTGGCAGAGCGAGACCGCCGCCATGCCCAAGCGCCCGACTGCAAGTACACGATACGGTACCGAGCAGACACGAAGAGCCAGCTTGAGCCAAAATGGCTACGGACGACGTGCGGGAAGGAAAGGGAGGAGGACGAGGCGGAGCAGGAGCAGACGTGCAGTGAGAGCCGTCGCAGAGAAAGCCAGGCGCGCACGGCCTGCGTAGGCTGAGCAATGTGGGTCCGCCTGGAGGGTACGATCAGGGCAAAAAGAGGAGCAGGAGGGGAAACACGACTAGTTATAAGTAGTGGAAGAAAACGATGATGAGGAGGAGGTTTTAACTAGGGGAGGAGGGCGAAAAAGAACAACTCAAGCAAAATGGAAACGTCCCTACTGTGCGTGGCCCTACATTAACTTATTGCCATTGGAAGAGGTGGCCCATTGAAAGACAACCGTCCGAATAGTTACCAACAGCTATTGTACCTCCAGGCTCACAAAATTGTGAGATGCCTCGCAGGGACCACGACAAAATAAGAAAACAACGGTTCTACATTGTAACTTTCATGGGATCCCGGCAGCCCTGAGTGTCGGAGTGTGTTTGAGGATCCTAGGATGTGCCATAACACAGCTCCTGTGACCTCAGCGCTGCAAGTCAACGTTGCTGTTGCGTCCTGACGGTCCTGAACAGTACCAAAGCGCAGTTTTGGGGACTTCAGCACCGCGACTCCACTTGACGGTTGCGCCCTGGCAATTCTGAATCGTGCCGAAACTATGCCTTGAACATCGACCCTACGGAATCTTGAAACTTGTGCAAGCCTTGCAAGACGTATGTGCGCGGCGCTGAAAAATCAGCGGTTGAAAAAGAACTGGCCTCCATCTTTGAGACTGCTGCAAACTGATAAAACACATGCGCGCAGCGCTAGAGCGAGAGATCAAATTCGAAAACGGCCCACCCTCCATCCTTGGAGCGGCTGTAGCATTCGAGCTTCAGGATTAGCACTGGTGGGGAACTCTCGGGCGAAACGCCTCGCCCGGTCTACAGGCACGTCCAGGGGTGCGACGGCAACGAGTTCGTCACGAACAGAAGGGGGGGATGAGACGGAAGAGGAGGGACGGGCGAAGATCGCGAGGATGTGGAGGCGGATGGGAGCTGCGCCAGCGGGCCAGCTGTTCTGGAGGCGCGCCCCAGCCGCGTGGAGTCCTGCAGCGGGCCGCCGTCCTGCTTTACATCGATGTTTTGGTCCGTCTAAAGGGCCAGCTCGGGCGACCAGCACAGACGCAGGCGCCTGGAGGCGCCGCCCGACTCCGCCGGGCACACTGGGGAGCTGCGCGGGGCGCCGCGCCGCCAGCACGCCGACCCCAGAGGTCCAGGCCCTGCCCCCCAGGGGCCGCTGCTCCTCCCGAGGCGCACGCGGACGGCCCCGGCGCCAGGCAGTGGCATCGGACGTGCGGGGAAGGGCGCGGGGGAGTGCGGAGGAGAAGCGCCCTGGCGCGTCCCCGGGCCCCCAGGCCCCCCCCCCCCGCCACGCCCCAGGTCGGCGAAGGCCGCCGCTGGGAGAGGAGGGGGAGGGGGGATGGGGGAGGAGGGCGCCGCTGCGCCCGCGGGGCCACGGAAGCCCACAGCCTCGAAGGCTCGAGGGGGTGACCGACGCAACCACGGAGCGGTCGGGAGCCCTGCCTCGGCGTGTCGCGGCGGCGGCCCCGGGGACGCGCTGTGCCCCCGCGAGCTGCTCAGCGTGCCGCTCCGCTCCGCGGGGCAGGGTGCCGGGGAAACCTCGAGGCACTGGCGCTCGGGAACGGGGAAGTGGGCAGCGAGCCGCGCGAGAGCGCGGCATGCCAGAACCGGCGGAACGACACGTTGGGCCGGAGGGTCCCCGACGGGAGGCGGGGCGCCCGCAGCCGAAGCAGTGGCGCCTGCTCTCGCGAAGACCGCCTCATCCTATTCGCTCCTCCTCCTCGTCCTCGTCCTCGTCCTCCTCCTCCTCCTCCTCCTCCTCCTCCTCCTCCTCCCGCCCTCCCTCTTCCCATTCCTCCAGCCCCTCCCCGTCCCAGACCCTCCCGCTCTCCCACCCCTCCCCCCTCCCAGTCCTAAGCCCCCCCTCCCTTGCCTCCTGCCTCGCCCTCCCCTCCCTCCGCTCCCTCCCTGGGAGCAGGCGCCCGCGCGGCCCGTGCCCCGTGCCAGGCCGTGGCCTCCTGCCGTGGCGGTCGCACCAGGCTAGGAGGCCCGGGGGGCGGCGAGAGGCTGAGCCCCGTTCGGCCACGCGCAAGAGTGGCCCTACAGTGGAGAGCCCACAAGAAACCTCCCGCAAGGAACCCAGCCCTGCGACCCCGGGGCGTCCCTTGATCCTTGGCGCGGGGGCGTCGCGCCCTCAAAGCCCTCGAAACCCAGGGCACCCTGGAGGCAAGCAGGGTGTCTCCTGGCATGGGCCCCCACTGTGGGCCAGAGCGACCTCCGGCGCGCGGAGTACATGAAGGGGCCCTGGGACACACAAATAAATTCACACACACACACAAATAACAGGATCCCCATATTTGACTATATTTTCTAGTTTTCTGTCTTCCCCCCCCACCTCCCATCTTTTCCCATAACTTCTCGAAAATCGACGATTGATTGTGTCTGTGCGTGCTTTTTTCCCCTCCTGAGTAGAGGGGGCGCAGGGTGGCCACATCCCGGCGCGCAGGCAGCCGCGGACGCACCGCGCTCGGCGATCGAAGGGGACCCCGACGAGCCCGCACCGGAGGCCACTCCGGCGAAGGGCCACTCCTGGGTGCAGTCGACCCCGTGTGCACCGCACCCCGAGGTCCTGGCGTCTCCATGGCATCGAGCCGGGCGTTCGCGCCCGGCTTCGGGCCCCGTGGCCCCGCCAGATCGATGCAGCTCGAGAGGCGGGGCAGAGAGATGGGGTCAGGGGCTCTGGTCGTGAGTCGTTCCCCGCGCCGCCGGATCTCAGGGCACCCTGCGCACCGTTGTCTTGCCCGAAGCTCACGCAGGGCTTGAACTTGGCGTCGGCGGTGAGGAGGTCCACGTATCTCTGCGCCAGAGTTTCGTTCACCTTCGCTGGCCTCTCCTCTCCTCTGCATCCTGCGGCAGCACTGGCACGGCGCTTCGCTGGGGCATGGCCGCTGTCATCCCTCTCTCCGCCGAAAAACACACAAGCAATGACCACGCCGTCGTAGTAATGAGAACGAGAAGCACAATGATGATGCCGGTGGCCATCCTCACTGTTGTCGATGGAAAGGCGCATGGCATGATCACTTTCGTGCGGTGCGCATTTCATGTCCAAAGCCATCACCATCACGCTGCTGATGATTGAGACTACCCGATCGCCCCTTTCTGCAGCGGTCTCAAGTTTTATCCACCTTGTGAGTATCTGCCTCCACCATCAATCAATGCTGCAATCACCATTTCAAACGCCCCGCATTGCCAAAACCACGACTGTTCTTGTCCAGCCCTGGCGACCAGACCCGCCGCGCAGACCCGGTGCTCCTCCTCCTTCCCCTTTCCTCCCTTTGTCCTCCTCCTCCTCCTCCTCCTCCTCCTCCTCCTCTTCCTCCTCCTCCTCCTCCTCCTCCTCCTCCTCCTCCTCTTCGCCCAAACATGCGAAATTTGGATGATTCAATACGCGGTCCCTGGGAATCCGGACCCTTTCCCCAGGACCGGATTCTCATCCCGAGCCGTTTCTTGACGGCCCTGGGGCCCAGCGAGGACCCTCAGAGGCAGGAAATGGCCAAGAACCTCCCGTCGTGATTTTGTTCACGATACGAGCATGTCTGGGATCATAACCACCCCTGCACCCCCTCCTCCTCCCTCGGGTTCGTTTCGACTATGTTTAGGCTCTGGGAGGCGAAATTAGCGTACGGTGGGCGTGATGTCTCGCTGGGCGTGCGTGAGAAGTGCACGTTTGCATCCTATATAACAATGTTTTTCAGCATGCCCGAACGAGTTTGGAGTGGTCGCCTCGGGGTATGGTCGTTTGGGGGCATGGTCGTTTCGGGTATGCTTGCTTTGGGCATGCCTGGACGATTCTGCCGCGGTGGTGCCCTGAAAAGCGTCAACGGGAATCCTCCCTCCCGCCCTCACACCTTCCTCACGGGGGCGCAGTCCGCGCGTCGGCCCCTGCCCCTGCTCCCCCTGCCGGCCACACGCAAGAGTGGCCCCAGCCAAGAGTGATCCTTGGTGCGTGGACTTCCGGGGGGGGGGCGGTGGGGAGGTCAAACCCAGGCGCAAGCAGGCCACTGCGAGCGCATCGCATGTCCACCATCTGGGGGCACAGGTGTGCCCGCACGAGAGGTCCCTCCCGCGAACAGTCGCTCCTACATACAGATGACCCTAGCCTTGTGGATGCCATGACAATGGACACTCTAAAAATCCGATAATTGAACTGAATATGTGTTCAACATGTGTAAAGCATGTTCTACAAATCTGTCAAACATGTTTTTATACATACATATATATATATATATGTATATAAGCATGCTTGAAACATCTTTTAGACATCTGGAAAGTATTTGGCAACATGCTTCCTCTTCATTAATCGGCTTCCACAACCCTAGCCTGCCTCGTCGCCAGCGCCGGGGACGGGCGGCAGGTTGAAGGAGAACGTCGACGTGGTGAAGCCGGCTCCCGCCTGCAGCACGAGGCAGGCACGAGGGCAAGGCAGAGCACGATCCTCCTCCTCCTTCTCCTCCTCGTCTTCCTCCTCCTCCTCCTCCTCCTCCTCCTCCTCCTCCTCCTCCTCCTCCTCCTCCTCCTCCTCCTCCTCCTCCTCCTCCTCCTCCTCCTCCTCCTCCTCCTCCTCCTCCTCATCCTCCTCCTCCTCCTCCTTCTCCTCCTCCTCCTCCTCCTCCTCCTCCTCCTCCTTCACGTCCTCCTCCACGTCCTCCCGTCAGATTCCCGGGCGTTGCAACAAGAATCGCGACGGCGGCTGGCTTTTCGTCGCGTTCGGCCTCTAAACGCCATCCCCTGGCCCTCGGGGACCGTCTCCCCCGCCTCCTCGCCCCCCACCCCCCCCCTCCCCTACCCTCCCCTCCCATCCCACCCTCTTATCCCCTCTCACCCTCCCCTCCCCTTTCACGCTCTGCCCATTCCTCCCACACCCTCTGTCGGCGGCGAGCCCAGGGGGGAAGCGAGAAGGGGCGTGCCTTCTCAGAAGGCTCGGAAGTCCCCCAGCCTTCCGAGAAGTTTTCTAAGCGCTCCGCGAAGACACAGAAATGTCTCAGAGGGTGCGAGGGTTTCTGAGAAGCCCCGCCGCCTTCTGAGAAGGCCTTCTCCCTCTCGCTTCCCCCGTCGCTTGCCGCCGACTCCTTCCCCTCCTCATCCCACCCTCCCTCCCCCCCTCACCTTCCCCCTCCTCCGCCCACCCCCTCCTCCTCCTCCTCCTCCTCCTCCCCTCCTCCTCCTCCTCCTCCTCCTCCCCCTCTCCCTCCTCCTCCTTCTCGTCCTCCTCCTCCTCCTCCTCCTCGTCCTCCTCTCCCTCCTCCTCCTTCGTCCTCCTCCCCTCCTCCTCCTCCCTCCTCCTCCTCCTCCTCGTCCTCCTCCTCCTCCTCCTCCTCCTCCTCTTCTCCCCTCCGCCCACTCCTCCCCCCACTGCCTCTCCTCCTCGCTCCTGCGCTCTCCCCTGTCCAGCCATCCGAGCTCAGCTCCCGGATAGGCGCTCGGACCCTCGCGGCGGCGGGAACCCCGCCGTGGCGGCGAGGGCGCCCCGGGAGGCCCAGAGAGACAGACAGCTCCAGCAGTCCTCGAGCCCTGAGCCCTTCCCTCCTCCTCCTCCTCCTCCTCCTCCTCCTCCTCCTCCTAGTCCTCCTCCTCCTCCTCCTCCTCCTCCTCCTCCTCCTCCTCCTCCTCCTCCTCCTCCCCCGGACGCCGGACGCCCCCACCCCAGAACTCCGACCCCGTGAACAGGCACTTCTCACAACGCGCCGCCCCGGGACTGGCTTCTCATCCCGGGGCCGTCCTCTGACCGCGCTGGGGCTCCGCAAGGGCCCCGATGTCTTTACACACAAACACATACACACATACACACATACACACACAAACACACACACACACACATACACACACACATACGCGCGCAACCCAAAGACAAGCAATGAAACGGGCGTTGCTTGAATGTGCCTCTTGATCCTGAGAAGGCGGAACTGCGTAGTGCAACGGAGAGACAGCCTGATGTGCGGGTGCAGACGTTCGTCTCGCTGAGAAAAGAACAGCGTAGAAGCTAGGGCCACGGGCGAGTGCAAAGCAGGAAGGGAGGCGGACGAGGAGGAGGAGGAGGAGGAGGAGGAGGACGAGGACGAGGACGACGAGGAGGAGGAGGAGGAGGAGGAGGACAGATGAGCAAATCCTCTGGTGCGCGTGCGCAGATGTAGTTGTTCCATCGCGCCACATTGCTTCCATGATGCGGTGAGGTTTGGTCCGCGCCGCCGCGAGGGCCCCTTCTCCCCTGCCGCCCCGGGCAGCTCGCGTGGCAGATCTACCAGCGCCTCCCAGCGACGGAGGCGAGAACGCATCGAGGAATTGGCCATCGCTCGGACGTCCACTCCCTGTGCACTTTTGCTGGCTTCGTGCGGGCTTCTTCTGCCAGAGATGGTCCAGGATGCTCCTCGAGTGCCCTCTCCGAGAACAAATGCACCCGTCCGCGCGATGCCGAGGGGAAGGGCCCGGCGGCGGGGCCGCGTCCAGCTGCGCGCAGCAGATTTCGTACCGCCCCCCCCTCGGGCCTGCTCCGGGGTGACGAAGGCCAGCGGCATGTCCTGCCCCGTGATGTCGCCTATTCCCCGTCGCCGCGCCCGGCGGCAGCCAAGCCGCGGCATTCACTTTGCCTGACCCTGCTCCTTCTCCACCCCCCTCCCTGTCACGGACGGCTCCCTGTTCTACTGAGCCGCGGTATCACCATCCCCGCGTGGATCACTGCAGACACCTGGTGCGTATCTGGCTGAATGCTGCGGTACCCCTTTTAAGTTTACCTGACCCTGCTCCTCCCCTACAGGCCCCCTAGATCGGGGCCGAGTAGGTGGAGTCGGAGGATCTCGCCGCATCGCCCATACATCGGCGATGCACTGGCGACGTCGGCGGTGCATCTGCGACTTCTGCGTGGATAAAATTGTGCCCCACATCGAGCCGCATCTCCGATGCATCGCCCATGCATCGGCGATGCGGCGCGATCCTCCGACCACATCCAGTCCGACCCCATCCAGGAGGCCCAGATCCTCACGCGTGGCCGAGGCGCCTCCAGGCTCACTATCACCGCCACGCCGCTCGCGCCGCATCCGTTCGCTAAGAGGAGAGGAGTGAGGAGCCTCCGCCTCGCTGAGCAGAAGCGTGCGGCCCAGTCTGGCACGGCGAGGCGCGAGCCTGCGCACCCTGATCCTGCTCCCCCTCCATGAAATGGACCAGAACCAAACGACACCACCCCACCCAAGGCCCCACAGTGCTTGGCGCACACCAGGAAACGGACCCCGATGGGCTGTAGCGCAGCACGGAGGGCCGTAGGTGGGTTGGTGTCGTTTGTTTCTTGGTCGATTAGATGCCCCTTAGATGGGGTCGGAGTAGACTGGGTCGGAGGATCGCGGCGCATCGCCGAGGCATCGGCGACATCGGCGATTTATCGGCGACGCCAGCTGGGAGAGAATCGGGCTCCACATCGAGCCGCATCGCCGATGCATCGGCGATGCGGCGTGATTCTCCGACCCGTCTACTCAGATCCCTCTCTCCCGCCCCCCTGTCACGGACGGCTTGACGCAGCTGTTCTCCGACTGCCGCGGCCACGTTGTACGCCTGGCGGCCGGGGAGAGCGGGCGTCAGGACGCGACGGGGATGGGGGAGCGCGCAGGCAGGGTTAGGTCGTGCATGTCCTCCTACAGGCGGATTTTGGACGAACAATAAAACACAGTCAAAACATTCAAACATAGTCCAAAATGACAGAAATCGTCCCCAGACTATCTTTGACTATTCTTGAATACTCCTCCTGCGGAGGGACATGCCCGACACAAAGACGGTGGGAGGGAGCACAACCCGTGAGCGGGTACTTCGGAGTGGCGCAGGGCACTGGCGCACCCCACGAGCACTGCGGCCGTAGTGCGAAGCATGCCCTCTTTCCCTGGGCGGGGCTCGGCGAAGCCCTGGCTTGCCCCGGGGCACGTCCTGGTCTCCAAGGCCTTGGCTTTTTCTTCCGGCGCCTGTTCCTGGGGAGGCAACACGGCCGGACCTGGGCCAGAAAACATCATCCCTCGCGAGCATGAGACCCTCGGTCGGCCAAAGCACACAGGAGCATTTGAGGGTACGCTCCCCGCGAGAGCATCCAGCAAGCACGAAGAACACGAGGGCCGATACACTAGGGGAACGACAAATTACATAAACATAAAAACTCGGATGTCCGCGCGGATTTCTTGGATCCGCGCTGGACCCCCCTCCCTGGCGCGCGGAACGCGCCACGGGCGGCGCCAGATGCGCCGCCAGGGGGCCCCAGCGCCGATCCGAGAACTCCGCGCGGACCTCCGATTTATCATGTTATGCCCTTGTTCGTTCCCCATACACCCTCCCTGAGCCGGCCCCGATCTCATACCTCGCTCCGGCTCTACACGGGGTGGCGAGGAGAGAGGTGCACCTGTCGTCGTGCACCCTCCGGGTCCCCCATGGGGGGCCTGCTGCAGGGGAGCCCTCTCCTGCAACTCTCGATTCCCCCCCTCGCCGCCCTGCCTCGACATCTAAAGAAGGCCAAACAAAACGACGTCCGCGAGCCGAGAAAAAACATCCCGGAGCCTGGAGCCTCGACTTTTCGCCCCGACCCTCGAGGCTCGAGGCTCGAGCCTCGACTTTTACCGTTCGGTCAGGCACGTTCCCCCTACAGGCGGATTGCTGGAAGGACGCTAACAAGTAGTCAAACAACAAGCAGACATAGTCAAAAGAGCACGAAAATCGTCACCATACTATTGTTTACCCAATCCTCCTGTGGAGGGACACGCCCGACTTAATTTTACCGCCACCATGCTGAGACGCCAGACTTTACCGACCCAAGACAATCCTGGATATCGAGGCCTTGGGATATCCAGCATCCCCTCAAAGGGCTTCCGAAGATCTCGCGGGGGTCTCCGGGGAGACTCCCGAGAACCTCCGATATCCAGGTCCTCGGGTGGTAAGAGAAACGGCAAAACGAGAGGGGGAGGGGGGAAGAAAACTCGCCGTGGGGTGGGGAGAAACGTCAGGGAGAAAATCAGGGATGGAGGAAGAAAAGGAGGAGGATGCGATTCGATGCGCGCACCATTGACGCCGCGCTGTCCAATATTCCGATGAATAATACCGTACTCACTCTTGCCTCTCAAATCGCGCAGCACCGGGCCGGGAACGTTTCACAAGACTGGCTGGAAGCAATTGGCGAGGGGAACCCCCATTCCTGGGAAAAGGTGCGTACGCCGTGCTCTACGCACTAAACAGCAGACAAGGTCGTGTACGGGGCCGCCCTTGCTCGAAAAACATGTAACATGCAACTGTGACCGACAATTTCTTCCGACCCCAACTTATCTCATGTCTGACGCCGGCTACTCCGAGTGTAGCAGCGCAATACAGTAGAAGGAAACAATTACTGAACATTCCCCTCCCCCCGAAATTGGACCCACCGCCAACTTTGAACATTGGGGGGAGGTGGAGGCGTTGACAGATGAATGCGGCAGGAGTGTTCGCAAAACTGTTCCGAGGCCAGTGGGTATGTTGCCCGGCACGTGGCTACCCTCGAACTGATTGGGGCGCAAAAATACAGGAAGAGGTCACGGGAAAAGGTTCGAGGGGAGGACCGGGGAGGAATCGTCTCAATCACTGCGAAAATCAAACCGTCAACCGTGGACTTACCCCACTCTGAGTCAGACAGGGGCAAGTCGGACTTGACACTTTGCTTTTCGACTTTGACGACGAACCGCGCGGCGGCCGACTGACAACGACGACGACGTCTGGGCGCCAAGCAAAAAACGGCCAAAACGGCTGCGGGTTGTCATGTCTAACGCCTCCCCAACGGCCCCTGGCCCCCCCGGAGGCGCTTCGCGCATCCCGCCTTTTTCACGTATTACTCGTATCACTCGTCCCAGCACTCCTTTTTTCACATATTACTCGTATCACTCGCAAGACAAAAAAATAAATCATATTTCTTTCTATGAGTGATACGAGTAAGATATGAAAAATACGGAGTGAGGGGACGAGTGGTACGAGTAATACGTGACAATTAAAGCGCGGGACGACTCGGGCGCCAGAACACTAAAAAGAGGACATATCTATATACATACCAACGTACACATAAATATACATGTGTATATATAATACGAATGATAATGGTATCGCAGATATCCTCACCCGCACAATCGCTCGGTCAACTCGCAAATGACGGGGTAAACTAAGAGATGAGACGGTAGAAGGAAACAACTACTGAACACTCCCCCTCCTCCCCAAACTCAACGTTGGCACGCGCGGGGAGACTGCGGCGAAGTGCATCTCATCGGACCCACCGCCAACTTTGAACATTTGGGGGAGGGGGAGGGGGAGGCGCTACTTTGTTCCGAGGCTACCCTCGAACTGATTGGGGCGCAAAAATACAGGAAGAGGTCACGGGAAAAGGTTCAAGGGGAGGACCGGGGAGGAATCGTCTCGATCACTGCGAAAATCAAACCGTCAACCGTGGACTTACCCCAGTTTGAGTCAGACAAGGGCAACTCGAATTTGACACTTTGCTTTTCGACTTTGACGACGAACCGCGCGGAGGCCGACTGACAACGACGACGACGTCTGGGCGCCAAGCAAGAAGCGGCCAAAACGGCTGCGGGTAGTCATGTCTAGCGCCTCCCCAACGGCCCCGGGCCCCGCCGGAGGCGCTTCGCGCATCCCGCCTGATTTTTCACGTATTACTCGCATCACTCGTCCCAGCACTCCTTATTCTCCACACATTACTCGTATCACTCGTAAGAAAAGAAAAAAGTGAAATAATATTTCTTTCTACGAGTGGTATGAATAATATGTGAAAATGTCAGGAGTGATGGGACGAGTGGTACCAGTAATACGTGACAAATAAGGCGCGGGACGACTCGGGCGCCAGCACACTAAAAAGGGGTATATATACATACCTACGTACACATAAACATACATGTGTATATAGTAATGGTATCGCAGATATCCTTACCCGCAGAATCGCTCGGCCAACTCGCAAATGGCGGGGTAAACTAAAAGATGAGTAAGGCAACACCTCCCTTTCCCATCCCTGCCTCGCTCTGGGGAGAGGGGGCAACTACAGGAAGAGGAGGATAGGATGAGGATCGAGGAAGATGGGGGAAAGATCGAGGAGGAGGACCGAGGAGGATAGGGGGAGGATCGAGGAGGGGACGAGGAGGAGGATCGAGGAGGAGGAGGAGGAGGAAGATCGGGGCTACGGCCGCGGCGGGCGAGCCGGGCTATGGCAGCGGCGTGAGGCACGACGCGGGGCCACGGGGACGGAACGGCTCGAGAGAGCGAGCCGTCGGCTGCGACGTCGGCTGTGCAAGTGGCCAGCCACATCCAGCCACCTTGGAAGTGAAGAGAAAACGTCAGGAACATAAACTTTTGGCGCTCCGCGCGGACTTCCTGGATCTGCGCTACACCCCCCTCCCCGGAGCGCGGAGCGCGCCAGGGGCGGCGCCAGAGGCGCCGCCGGGGGGGCCCGGCATCCGCGCCGAGCGCCAAAAGTTTATGTTCATAGTGTGTTCTTCCTCGACACTTGCCCAAGACCGCCAGGGGAGGAAGAGGCATGCCTGAGGCACTCTGTCTTGCTCTCAAGCCGCGCTGCTGGGACTGAGGCAGGGAACGGGCGGCGGAACTGTGGCGGGCGGAGACGGGACGAGGATCAGCAGCAACAGCAGGAGCTCCGCGATGCAGCCGCCTGGCCACCAACGGCAGACGACGGGAGCCCGCATCGAGCAGACCTGCCGTGCTGTGGGGCCTGAGTCTGATCGGCGGGACGTGGTCGCGGGAGCAACGTCGAGGAGTCGCACAGAACTAGGGAGGGGCAAGGCGGACCCGGACGGGCGGGTGCCTGCTGGCACCTCTGCTCGGTCTCCGCGTGGTTCTCCACCAGGCGGGCCATCTGGTCCTGACTCGGGGGAGGGATGCGCTGCTAAGAGGCTCGAGGTGAGGGCGACGCCGTTGCGGGGCCGATGGTGGCACCACGAGACAAGCACAGCAGCACGCAAAAGCAGGAGCACAATATAACGTACTCCAGATTTCGTAATTCAAGGGAGGGGGTCTGGACCCTCCAAGACAAGCCATTTCAGACTTCCCCCGTGGGAGAAACCTCCAAAACATCGTCCCCAGACCCCCCAGGCCCTCCAAGATAGCCTGGAAGAGACCCCCCCCGAAATGAGACCCCCCTCCCTTTATTACGAAATCTGGAGTACTCACGAGGAAGCAGGAAGGTGTGGACGTAGTGTGCGTGCCCCTCCTCCTCCCGCTCCTGTTGCGTGGTGGATGGCACGTGTGATGCCGTCGCCTTTCAGGCACTGTGAGTCGCCGCGGAGAGCGTTTGGGCTCTCTCGCCAGGGCTTCTTCACCCTCCTCCTCCTCCTCCTCTTCTTCTTCTTCCTCCTCCTCCTCCTCCTCCTCCTCCTCCACCTCCTCCTCCTCCTTCCCTCCTCCTCCTCCTCCACCTCCTCCGCCTCCTCCTCCTCCTCCTCTCTCCTCCTCCTCCTCCTCCTCCTCCTCCTCCTCCTCCTCCTCCTCCTCCTCCTCCTCCTCCTCCCCCTCCCCTGAGGTCCGACGCTGCAAACGTAACAAATCACGGCGGGAGCCTTAAACCCAATGTTTCTGCGTCATCTTCTGGGCCGGATCGATCTGCGAGGGTGCTGGGGTCGGCATCCGGGCGAAGACGCCCCTTGTGACAACATTCTGAGGGTCCACCGCCCCCAGACCCCCGACGTCATGATTTTTTCATTAAGTCGACCCCTGGAGGTCTCCGCCCATTCCCCTGGATCGGTCTTTCATCCTGAATCGTTTTCCACGGTCCCGAGGGCCGGCAAGGGCCCCCAGATGACGAAAATAGCAACAAAAACTCCTGCCATGGTTTTTTGTCATTGGCCGAGGGGGTCTGGGGTCCACCGCCTCCTCCTTCCTCTTGTTGAGCAGGGACCGACCGTCCCGGCATTCCTAGTGTCCTACCACGAAATTCTCTTAGAACCCCAAAAAGGTCCGTCTAACAAAAACAATGCTCTTAGAACAGAAACCCGATGCGATAAAACAAGACAGACTCCGCCAGAAATGTTCTAATGACATTTCGTGGAAGCCACAAAAGGTTCTTAGACCATTGTTTGGTAGGGCTATAGGCGAGCCAGGAAGCTTCGCCACTGCTTGATCTTGGCCTTCGCCGCGCTTCTCCTCCTCTCGGGCGCTTCCCAGCAGCTGCGGCCCGCTGGAGCGACGGCTGGTGCGGCGGGCGGGCCAGCCCCACCTCGCCTCCGAAGGGTCTTTGGCCGCGGATGTCAAACATCCTGCTCCTCCTCCTCCTCATCCTCCTCCTTCTCCTTCTCCTCCTCCTCCTCCTCCTCCTCCTCTCCTCCTCCTCCTCTTCCTCTCCTCCTCCTCCTCCTGCCTCCTCCTCCTCCTCCGCCCCTCCTCCTCGTCCTCCTCCTCCTCCTCCTCCTCCTCCTCCCGTCATCTCCTCCGCCAGTTTCAGGGTCACTTTCACCTCCGCCTCCTCCTCCTCCATCTCCATCTCCTCCTCCTCCTGCTCCTCCGCCTCCTCCTCCTCCCCCTCCTCCTTCTCCTCCCGTCCCCCTCTTCCTCCTCCTCCTCCTCCTCCTCCTCCTCCTCTTCCTCCTCCTCCTCCTCCCAACCAGCTTCGGACGAGTTCCTATCCCTAAGATCGGTAAGCCCCAGGCGATGGCAACTTAAGGGATGTGCCCTCAGAAGCTGAGGGGTTCCCTCAGATCGGCACCGAGGTCAGGTGATGCCAAGTAAAAGGATACCGCTGCTGGCGCTAAAAACGCCCATCCACAGACGTTGCTTCGACGGTGCCGCCCCTGGACCCCCATTTCAACGTTGCGTTCGCCACCGTTGTCGGGACGCAAGCATCGACAAAAAAACGCCCTAACCTCCACCGCCAGGACAACCTCGTTTTCGACATTGAAATTGAAGGGCACGGGGGTTCTGAACACAGCAGCACTGTCCATTATGCCTGGTGGGCGTTGTTTACGCCAACGGCGCCAGGGATGCGCTTCAAGCTGGCAGTACTCCTCCTTCTGCTGCCGATCCTCGCTTTCCCCTCTGGCATAGGAGGACCCCCGCAGCCCTGTACCGCAGGATGAGAACGAGCCCGAGGCCCAAAAGGGCGCGCGCGCACGAGCGAGCAGAGGCCCGCGGGGACTCCGGTTTGGCGTTGATGTCCAGCATCGCGGAGGCCTCGTGACAGCCTCCGCTCCCCTTTCTCTTGCCATGCCTCTCGCAGATTGAGCCGCTGGCGTCGTGTGCTCTCCCTGCCAGAGCAGCCGCGCACAGCCCCGAACCAGGCATTCCACGCGCTGGGGTGCCGTTCCGTCTTCTCTCTTCTCTGGTGCCGGTCGCTGCGCGAGGGGGGGGGACAGGGGGGCCGCCAGGGGGGGAACGGGTCCCGGGGGAAACGGGTCCCGAGGTGCTTCTCCATCTTCGGGCTCTCGGGGCCCTCCCCGGGCCCGGGAGCTGTAAGAGAACGACGGATGG